GTGCATATAAAATAAGTATATTATGAATTTTTGAAGAAGTCCATGGACATGATTTTTGAGTATATATGTGGCCCATATATGTTAAACTTATATGTATGTGAACATTGGTATGTTTATATGGATACTTATTGAATTATTGTTTTCTAAACAGATGTTGGATGATATTAGGAAGAAGTACTTTAACATTCACTACTTGAAAACTGATGCAATCAGTGTTAGCGACTTTGTGACTGGAATAACAGTTTTAGCTCTACACTACTACGAGAAGTATAATCTTGAAGTCTTCACCCAACCCCCTTGGCTAGTTCTTTTGGCATTAGCCCACTTACCCAAGCTTAAGAAGTACTACCCTCTATTTGAGAAGTATGGGGATGTGATTAAGGAGGATGGGCTTTGGAATGAGAGACATCACCATGAAGGGAAATGGCTAGCCACCTTGACCCATTTCAAGAATGACCTACACTATTTGGAGCGTAACTATGAACCTAAGAGGAAGTCCGTCAAGCCACCCAAACTTACCCCTCACCACACATTAAGAGAGGTTGACCAACTCCGTTATCTAAATGCTCAACTTCCTTTCTCTTACCCAAAGTATGAGGGAGACTTTGACTCTTCTGATGATGAATCCATTCCACCACTTGGACGGCGTAAGAACTACCCTCATCCTTCCCACTTTTCTCAATACAATGTACCTATACCACGTGAACATCCAAAACCTCAAACAAAAGCCCGAATTCTAAAAAGGCCTAGAGTCCATGACTTCTCATCATCTTCTAGCTCCAACTCTTCCCCTCCTCCACAACCCAACAACCCAAACCCTCAAGGAAACCCAAATCCAAAGTCAGGCCAAACCCCAAACTACAGTGACTATGTACCAACCTACTTGAAGGAGCCCAATGGTAACAAGAAGACTAACAATGAAGATCAAGAGTTTGACCCAGTAGAAGAGGAGTGATCAATTAAATGATTTATGATTGTTTCGATAAATTATATGCATAATAAAGTGTACTTGAATATTAATTAATAATAATAAAGTATTTGCTTGATTTCTTCTATGTTTATGTATATGAATAAATTTTAATTTTTTTTTCTTTCTTCTTTCTCTCAAATGTGAACACCAGGAAATATGTCTTTAAAGTTAAAGAATAAGAAATATGAATTTATGATATTATGTTCCGTATTAAAATTATGAAATTTTGTCGCATTGAATTAAATGATTTGGATTTAAATCAAAAGGGCCTTAAATTGTGATTGGAAATTATTGGAAATGATTTGCAAGTTATGTAAGTGTGATGGATTTTTAAACAAATCAATCGATATGTTGAATCCCACTTAGGGAATGGTTTAGAGAAGACTATGGACTTTGCATGACCTAGTCTTTCCTCAAGTTTGGCCTTTGATTATAAAGTAAACCACTTGGGGGGTGTGCACACTTAGTGAGGAATTGGTTTGGTATGAATCGATTGAGTTTTACTTGAATTAAAAGAATTGGAGTGAAAAAGTTCTATTTGAATACGACATTGGTATTTCTTTTATTAATTAAACGTAAATGATTTAAATTACGTTTTACTTACTTACACATGACTTACTTAGCATACTTTGCTAATACGTGCTTCTGTTTTGGCTTTGCCCTGTTTATCATTTATGGTAAGCAGGTGAATTTTTCAGGTGGAAATTAATTGATGCATACGGAGTCCACGGGAATTTCACCTAGCTAGGAAAAGTTTGAGTCATTTTTGTGTCACGAATTATGAACGAATTTTATTATGGTTATTTAATAAAGAATAAAGTTTTCCGCTGTAAAAGTATTTTTGTATAAGCCTTGCGTTATACGCGGCGGTGATACGCCCAAACCTATCTCTACGGTATTTATACGTATTTTTCTACAATTTACGTAGAGAGAGATTTGGGGGTGTTATAGAGGGATATGCTTCTATCAACCCCTCGGCATGCCTAGCCGATGGCTATGCTTCTACCAATCCCTTGGCATGCCCAATTGAGGGTTATGCTAAGATGAACTCACCAGCCTTTTGAAGATGAACGTTACAAGATCAAGGAGGTCTCTCACTTGAGGGTCTTCCGCTCACAAGTTCCAAATGGCAAGGCCTTCAGCTCGCCCTCCCCATCAATCATGAATAGTTATGTGGCTGAGCCGACAACCGATACGCTTGGAATGTCGACTTAAGAAGATTTTATGTTTGAACAACTTCTAATCTTACAATGATGCCCTAGGGGCATTAAGGGTCGATACTAGGAGATCTTTCTTTTAATAGCGCATCATTGTAAAAGTTAAAGTTGTTGAATTAAAAAAGTTCAGCAATATGACAAGTTCCCCCCTAGCTATTTTTCGGGTTAGTTACCTACATAGCCGCCTAAAGCTCTAAAAGCTCGGGAATTCATTATCTTCTCATAAAGCACCGGGCCTCCCTACATACAGGACACCCCAGGTCTCTAACTAACGTTAACAATAACAAGTTTGTTCCAATGTTTGGGGCAAGATAATAGACTATGAGATAATGTCCTGGCGAATTGCTAAAATAACAAAAGGCTCGTTTAGCCCTCAACCTACCACAAAAGTTGAGATAGCCCAGCTCTTATACATCTTTAACTTGGGGCTCGATTAGCCCCTCAGCCTATCCTAAAAGTTGGGACGGCCTACTTCCTATACATCTATAACAAAGGGCTCATTTCGCCCCTAGCCTGTCCCAAAAGTTGGGATGGCCTACCTCTTATACATCTATAACAAGGGGGCTCGTTTAGCTCTCAGCTTATCCCAAAAGTTGGGATGACCTACCTCTCATACATCTATAACAAGGGGCTCATTTAGCCTCAGCATATCCCAAAAGTTAGGATGACCTACCCCTCATACATCCATAACAAGGGGCTCGTTTAGCTCTCAGCCTATTTCAAGATTTGGGATAACGTACCATTCACTCATTATCATAACATCAGGCCCGTTTAGCCCTCAGCATATCTCAATGTTGAGATAGCGTACCGTTCATTCATTATTTTAACTTGGGGCTAGTTTAGCCCTCAACCTATCTCAATACTTGAAGATAGCATTCTGCTTAGCTCTCATTTTCACATGGGGCTCATTGACCCTCAATTATCATAATATTTGAGATAGAGGCGTGCCTAGTCCTCCTTAAAATGTTACTCGGGGCTTGCCTCTGGCACTTCAAAATTCATGAAGAATCATGATAAGGTCGTAAAAATATAATATTTATATCTATTAAACTTTTGATTTTATATTGATATTTGATGGTTTAAAGATATATTACGTAATTTTCTTATTTAGATACGAGTTACTACTATTTATTTTTATTGTTTGTAGGAAAGAAATATTGGCATCAAATTGCATATTACGACACAGAGCAAAGTTTATAAGCCCGTTGACTCTCAACTATTTCAAGACCAATGTTGTTTTATTGTGTAAGTTATTACAGTTGGGCCTTGAAGTATAACAATCTGTCACATAACATATTAGAAAGAGGAGAGCAGCTCAAACTCTTCATTGTTCTCACTGTTCTTGCGGGTAAGCCAAAGAGTAAATCCCTTAAGCGAGATTGACGGTTATCAATTTGTCAAGCAAGAAAATATAGAGATGAAATCAGATAAGGATGAGAGCGTTCGGGATCAAAGATTCCCGATGATAAGATTGGGATGCCGAATTGGAAGGAGAAGGCGTTTTCAGATTGGAAGATTTACACATATTTGGGCTGTTTTGGGTACCGAATCAGAGAGGAGGGAGGCCAAATTGCATGCGAGAAGAAGACCAGCAACAGCAAACTCAGGGGGAAGCTGAACTCGGCGACAGAGGAACCGAGGTGGTTGTAGCTCTCGGTTTGCTACAATACTGATTTGGGGATTCCGATCAACTACTCCAAAATAGAAAAAGGATCTGAGTTTTATTTTGGGGATTTTCTGGGCTACGTTCAGGGCAGCAAATTGATGAGCTTCATCTGAATTTTGCGAGGTACCTAGCGAGCAGGAGGGTAAGCAAAAACGGACTAGTCGAGGTGACTCGGTTCAGCTTGTGTCTACTCTGATTCTCATTAGAAGATTTGGTACTGTATTTATGCTTTCATTTTCTTTTCATTCGATTGTCAGCTTTGGTTTATCTTGGATTAGTAGTAGTATAAGTTTTGCTTTTGAGAATAAAAATGAAAGTTAGTGCTTTTGTTCTTGAATGCGTCAGTATACTAGCTGGTATACATCTTGGTAGATTAATTTAATTATTAGTTTTATTTTCATTTATTTGCTTTGTTTATTAGTTTGATTATGAATTTTATGTATTCTATTATAATTAACTCAATATTTGTTATGTCGGGCTAAATTACTAGTGGGGTAGGGAGACCAATTATGCATTGGATTATTGGTTTTGTGAGAATAGATATGCTGTAATTCTTGGGTATCGTGTTTATATCTTGATTGGATGGATAGTCTATTTTATTGGTATGAATTGGTTGAATTATATTTTAGACCTGCCATCTTTAATATCATCCACTAGTTTGATTGCTAGGATTTTAACTTGTGATACGTAATTGTCCTTGTTAATTTCCCTTGGTAGCAATTAGGTGTTTAATAGGTGACTAAAGCTTGTTATAATGCCTAAGATTATCAACCCTTTTAGTTGCAGGAGTCGAGCTTGTGAGATTTGTGGCTAAGTTAACTACTCCCTTGTTATTAATGCTACTAATTAATCAAGTCTAGAGAGCTTGTTCTAGATTATTAGTTGGTAAGACAATATTCCAAGAGCTTGTTTGGTCTATTTGCAACTAAAGGAAGTTTCGAATGCTTGTTTGTGCTCATTAGTTAACATTAAGATATAGTCATGATTATATATAATTCAATGATCAATTGATACTCCAATGCTATAATATGTCTCCCGATTCCTTATTTCATTACTCTTGATTTTATAGTATCTTAATTTTATTAGTTTATTTCTCCGTACTTTATTTGTTTTCTAGTTAATAGTTTATTTTTTAGATCATATTTTTCTTATTCAAATCAGGGGTTTTTAACATTCACAAGTAATAATTTAATAATCTAATTCTCTGTGAGATCGACCCTAGCTTACCCTACTACATTTTAGGAGATTTTAGTTAGGTTTATTTTTGGTAGACACGCGACAGTCGTACCAAATCATCAAAAGTAAACAGCAAGCCAACAAAGAGAAATGTCAAGCGGAGGGACATGAATATATCACAAAGTCAGAATAACAGTCTCATACATAGAAGAGATGATGCCAAGTACAAATCAAAAAATCCAAATACATCAGAAGAAAGTTAAATGTCTAAACATCAAGGCTAGAAGATCTATTCAATGCAAGTCAAGCGCACCTCGAGGACCAATTCCTCACATCCAAAGGTCTCGGCCTCCCTTAGCCTGGCATGTCTCACACCCCTAGGCTCTTGGCACGTCTCATACCCAAAGATCTCAGCTCGTTATAAAAAGGCTCTTGGCATTTTAGATATATTTGTCATATCCAAACGGAGAGTTGACAAGCCAAGCTCTCAGCATATATGGACAAGGCGAGCCCTCGGCATCTCTCAGCCTAGCGTAGGCCCTCAACTTCCTCCGCTCGGTCTTTTCAATCACTCTTGTTTCGGGGTTTTCTGTGTCCCTCGGGAGAGTTAAAACTCCAAGACTGGATTCCGGGCGCCTGTACCTGCAAAACAACGGAGACTCTAGTTGGATAAGTTCCGCCTCCGACGATCAAGTTAGAAAGTGTTAGGAAGAATAAAAGTGCGAAAAGTAAAGTGGGATCAGGTTCCTCTATGGAGACAAATGATCATCCGGCTATCGCAGACAGCCTCAATATCCGAGTGTTCACTCTCTTGTGTAATCAATTTTACAATTAATGCTCTTTTTGAATAATCAATTCTGTGTTCCCTGGATGGGAACATATCCCTTTTATAGGGTCTTAAAATGCGTGCCCATCCTAGGTTTCTAAACCTATGACTAACGGGCTGCCTCGGGATTTGGGCCTTGAATGCCGCCAATCCTATGTTGGATATTTGTTTGCCAAGTGTCGAGCCCTGGTAGGTTCACTTAGGGCTCTCCTTTGGGTGACACGTGGCGGACTCTGATAGGTCCACGTGGCACCCGTGACATGTGTCACACGCGGATAGGAAAATAGTTTTGTTTTTTTTGTTTTTTTTGTTTTTTTTTTTTTTTACCGTTTAGTTTTTGGAACATTCTTCAGGGGTGCCCCCTGAAATTCTTGTCCCTTTATATAAGGGTCCTACCCCCCATCATTTTCACACATTCTCAAGATTCTCTCGGACATGGAACCTTAGACTTTAGGAAAGAACTTGTCTTAATTCTGAGAAAAGCAACTGCCGCCTGTAACTAATGCTTGTTTCTACAGCTGCCCAAGACTTTTTTCAAGCGTCTACAGTATCTTCAAACCAAAGGTAACCGCCTGCTTTTCTCTCTTGCTTTAACTTTGTTTCTTTTCCTTTTTGAAAATGGTTTCCCAAAAGCACACGACATAGCCTAGGTTAGTGATCAGCCGGTCACCGGGGACGACTGAATCTAGAACTAGGAGCACCGACTGCCCCTTGCTGGACCACCCTTTGCGAACTTCCCCAAGTCCGACGCTCTTTGTGTCTGTGTAGGACACCATGGCCAAATTAAACAAACATCCAGGTAGCAGAATCCGAACGGCTCTTTTAGGGCGCCTATTAGTGAACTCTTTGATTTGTCGCCTGACACCCCGAGTACCCCCAGTGATTCTATTTTGCAAGAATCAGGGGAGGAGTTTGAGAGTGATGCCTCTGACTCTATTCGACAGGCCCCTCAGGGGGACGCGGCTCAGACAGTGAGTCCGAACCTAGTACTTCTAGCAGAGTCTCCGATGACTCTGAGGAAATGCGCTCTCGGTTGGAAACAGCGAGAGGGTCCCATTCTGTAGAAAAGGCCGAAGGCTGGGCCGAGCCGTCTGCTACCCGCCGAGAGCAGTTTGCTGCTTATTATCAACACGTTCTCGCGGGCAGGCGGAAAACAATGGCTGACAAGGTGGGAAGTTTTCGAGTTGATCATGTCATGGGACATGGCTTCATTTTGTGCCGGATGCTGAGGATACCGTAGTCTGGCCAGAAGGATCAAGATACGGGGACGAGTGCTCTGGCTACTATGAAGGGGCCATCCAAGCTGGCCTTAGATTCCCCCTCCATCTGACCGTGGAGAGAATTCTTGATGGATACCAGTTGGGTATTTGGCAACTGGCCCAAACTCTTGGGTAAACATTCTAGGCTTTGTTGCCGCCTGCGAAATGTTAGAGGTAGATCCAAGTTTTGAGGCTTTCGCCCACATGCACTACCTCAACCGAACCCCAAAAGCAAGCGGGTCTGGTTGGTACACTTTATCTAGCCACAAGGGCTATATGATGACCATTGGGAAGGATAACAAATGGAAGGACTGGAGAAGCAAGTTCTACATTGTTTCTTCACCTGACAAGATAAAGAACAGAAAATACAAACGGTGGAACCGGAACCCCCCTCTGCTCTCAGGCGGAACATAATTGTCGTCTGTTCCCAGAAAGGCCAAAGAGCATATCTTGGAGAAGGGTCTTTTCAAAGTGACCATTCGGTCAAATGAGGAGACCGGGGTGAAAGAAATCATACCCCAAAGTTATATTCCCAACTATGATTGGTTATCTGATGGGGATTATCTTACCGCCTGCGGTCTGAGTGTAGAGAGGCCGAGAGGTAGACGACCGAATGTGTTTAGATTTTTAGTAAAACTTGATCATTTTGTCTAGCTTACTTAACTATTTAAAATTTCTTATGCAGACAAAGCGATGGCGAAGCTCTCGTCTACAAAGAAGCCGACTGCCTACTACCGCTTGCTTTTGGGCAAGCGAAAGGGCGAGGAGCCGGATGCCACATAGACGCCCAAGGTGAGCCACACTCTTTAATTTGACTAAGTCTGACTTAATTTTCCCGCTTGCTTCTTACTCTTTTTGGTTTATATGCAGGGTGGTTCCTCCAAACCCTCTCCTTCATCTTTGTCGGACCCGAAGCTTCAAAAGCAGACGGTCGGTGATGTGGGGACTCCTGGCAGGTCCTGGAAACACGTGGCCCACAAGCTAGGAAGGACCCATCCTCCAACTGGGGGAAAGTCCCCAGCTTTCCCTGAGAGTAGTCGGCTCCCAAGGGAGAAGGCGGCTGCCGGAGGTATTACAAGTTTTAATCCCTTGCCCTACCCCTGTAGGGTCAAGTTCAATCAACAGTTGGCCAGTGCTTCTGAAAGCAGCCGGTCTATAGGTCGAATTTACACCAAGTATTTACAAAGTGTTGAATGTGCAGATGTCCCTCAAAGGCCGGATCTTCAATAGCTGGCAAAGACCATGCTAAGGCCATCTCCCTTGAGGATAGGGAGTCTGTTAGAGGAGTCGGCACCCTTGATCTTGATGTCATTCTTGCTCTCCTTGCTGAGGTATTTTACTTTATCATTTTTATGATTTTTTGCACAACTCTTTGAGCCGTCTGGTACTGATGTTTTCCCTTCTTTGCCGGATGCAGTCTATGCTGCGAGTGCACGGTCTTAGAAAATTGCTCAACGAGAAGAAAAAAGAGGTAAAAGCTGCGAATGCTCGGGCCGCCTCTTCTCTAGACACAGCCATGTTTCAGATTACTCAAAATGAAATATTGACCACTGACATACTATATTCTCAGGCGGCTGCCAATCTGCAGGTCAAGGCCGATCTAGACGCGGCAAAGAGGCGGATCTTTGAGCTCGAGAAGGAGGTTCCAAGAGGCGGACACTGAAGCAGCCGGACTCTGCACCCGGGTGGACAAACTCAAAGCCAGGCTGCAAAACCAGGAAGTCCAACTCGCCAAGAAGTATACTTCAAGGGCTGAGGAGGAGAAGGAGGCCCTGGTTAAACAGATGATGGACGACTGTGAAGCCATCATGCAGCTGACTTGGGGGGCTCTTTTCCCGGATGCTAGCTATGAAGGCTAGAGGACCAGTTTGCCGCCGCTTCCCAAGAATACAATGATAAACTCTTGAACCAAGCTCAAGAGGAAGCGGAGGAAGAGGAGTCGTCTGATTCTGCATCCGAGGTTCCGATCAAGAGGAGGAGTAGGATGGCGAAAAAGACCGAGAGCCGACTGGGGAGGAAAAGGATGCGGCTGCCAATACTGAGAAGCCCCCTCCTGAAGCTTAAGCCTTGTGTTGATTCTCTGAGGCCTGTTGGCCATGTATTACTTTCTCCGGCGTGCGTGCCGTGTGTTTCCTTATATCTTTACCGACTAAGGAGTCGGGTTTTTTTGACAATTTTTGCCGGTTGTATCGGTTAACTCTTTTTAGTCGCCCCTGAGGTCGACTAAGTTTATTTATGAATCATCCGGCCATTTGGCCGGTTTTTCCATTTTGCAAGATGTCTTTGAATTTTTGCATTTCATAGATTTTAGCTAAGTATTTAGCTTGCTTTATCCTATGAATTTTTCACTATATACCGGTTGTTTTTGCCCCTGGGCGGCTGTGCGACTGGTTTTCAAAGGTAAATTGATTGACTTGGAAATTTTTTATGCTTTAGAGAGTATGATTGGTTTCCAAGCCAATCAATCACTATGGTGATTGCCCCAAACCAGGCGGACAGTCGACCATTGCATAGGCGGGTAAGCATTCAATAGTATGTGACCATTGGCCTCATTAGTTAGTTCTAAGACGAGCAATGCTTAGCTGCTAAGTTTTTTAACTTAGCTTATTTTATTATTTGGAAATTGGCCGTTTGCATTGCAATAACGGGCTTTAAACAGGATATCCAACCAAGATAGCGACCGCTTGTTATATTACAGGCAGTAGCTTTTAGTTATCTTGGTTTCATCAACCTAGGTAGGAATAATGGTCGAATACCGGCTGGTGTCAATGAGACATGTGGTTTTGTTTGTTCCGTTTAGGTTCCATTTTAGATTGTACAGGTTAGACGGCTGTGAGTTAGCCTTTTTGGGTTAATCAGTCTTTGCCGCTTGTTTTCGGGTTAATAGAGCAATGTGCAACTCAAATGGGAGATGCTCTCTGCGACGAATTCACCCGGGTGGGCGTCGCGGGACGCCTACTCATGTTGGAGCAGACGGATGCTAGCTGCTAAGTTTTATACTTAGCTTATTTTTCATTTCAATAGCTGCTAAGTATGGATTTAGCTTATATCCTCAAATTTATCTATCTGTATTGCTCCTAAGCAATAGCAGGCGGTATTTGACCAAGATAGTAGCTGGTTTTCGTTTTATTATACAATAGTCGGTAACCCTTGTTATTTAGGTCTCATTTAATCAATTCAAACAGCTGCGAGCTTATCTTAATCCAGACAGTCGGTAGGGCCGTTTGTTTTTAAGTTTATAGAGCAATGTACCACCCAAATGGGAGATGCTATCTGCGACGAATTCACTCGGATGGGCGTCACCGGATGCTTACTATGTTGGAGCAGGCAATGGTTTGTAATATTACCTGGCCATTGGCCTCATTAGGTTGTTCTAAAAGGAACAACGCATAGCTGCTAAGTTTTTAGACTTAGCTTATGTCTACTCATGTTGGAGCAGACGTAAGATTTTAATAAAGCCGCCTGCACATTGTATAGACGGTACTCCCATTGGGAGATGTACATAAAAATGAAAATAAAAAACAACTCTTTATTGATAGGCTTTCTACTTTACAAAAATTACAAGTCTTAGAAGTAGTACTTTTTTAAGTTGTCTATATTCCAAATTCTGGCTAGCTGCCTACCGTCTGGAGTTTCTAGGCGGTAGATGCCGCCTCTTGCTTCCTCATAGATCCAGTAGGGGTCTTCCCAAATGGGAGTCAGCTTTCCCTACTCATTGGCCCTACTAGTTGCCTCCATTTTCCATAACACAAAGTCCCCCACTTTCAAAGGTCGTTTGTGTACTCTTTTGTTGTAGGCTCTCGTCAAATCTCATGACGCAAGGCGGCATTTCCCCAGCGTTTCGGGAGTGAGTCCAATGCTAGCCGCATGGCCTCCCAATTAGCCTCTTCGCCATAAAGCATGACTCGATGAGTCGGCTCATAGTGCTCAATGGGCAAGACAACTTCAGCACCATAAACCATGAGAAACGGGGTTTCACCAGTCGCCCCTTTTTCAGTTGTTCTGATGACCCATAGAACATGCGGCAACTCATCAGCCCATAGACCGCCAGCTCTTTCAACTTTCTTTTTAATGTCATCTGAGATTAATTTGTTGAAGGCTTCAACCTGGCCGTTTGCTTGGGGACGACCGATTGATGCAAAGCAATGAGAGATCCCTTGGTCTCCCAACCAACTCTTAAGAGTAGGCGTCTCAAACTGAGGGCCATTGTCAAATACCATAGACATAGGTACCCCAAACCGGGTGATAACATTTCTCCAAATGAAGGAGATGGCATCTTTTGTCTTGATACCTTTGATCGCCTCTACTTCTACCCATTTGGTGAAGTAGTCAACAACAACCAGGATATACATTCGTCCGCCTGTAGCGGGCGTATACGGACCCAGAATGTCCATTCCCCATTTGACGAATGGTACTGGGCTGTGAATGGCCGTCAGATTAGTGGCCGGACGGTGTATTTAATACCAATTCAATTATATTGCAATTATAGCAAAATTTTCACAGAATAAACCATCACAGCAAAGCCTGAAGTTATAATTCATGAATAAATATTAAGCAATTGCTTTTTACATTGTCACAGAAAGCATAACCCCAAAATCGCATATTTGAAAGTAAAAGTAAAAAATAAATTGCATACCTTTCAATAAGACAATCATCATCCTTCTCCAAGCTTATCCTATAATAGCAATCTTCAACTTTTCAAATCGATAAAATAACCATGCTGAAAAAATCAAGTAAAATTATCAAGACAGATTATCAAGAGCACAACTTCCACATACTGATGAGTGATGCATAGCACTACACTTTCGGAGTCATCGGAACCATAGTGCACTTCATACCGTTGTTTCCCTCTCAAAGAGCAACATCAAATTGCCAAATTACCACTGTAATTAACTATCAATTAAGCTTATGCACATATAATAAAAAAAAAGTCACTTTAGAACTTATACATATCAAACTTTTTCAGTTAAATTTTATTTTTCACTTTTCCATCGAATCGACCATATTTTCTGTTTGGGTCCAATTTAGTCAAAATTGGGCCTAAGCACTAAATGATCCAATTAAAAGCCCAAGGTCAAGGTTCAACTCTCCAATTGCACAAAAGTCAAAGGTCAGCCCACAAAGCATGCCAATTGGGCTAAGGCCCAACCTCACCATGTATGATGAGGTATAAAAGCCATCATATTCGGCACATTCAGATATTCAGATTCATATTCATATTCTGATTCATATGCTCATTCTTGCATTCAGATATATTCCACAAAAGCCTCAAGCTACAAACTCTCTTGCATAGTGTCTTCTTTTTACACATTGTACTGACTTTAGCATCGGAGGGGCCTTCCTCGGCAACACCCCCGAGGCTAGTTTACGTGTGTTTACTGTGCAGGAAACCTTCGGCCCAACACAACTTGGACCGAATCCAGTCTTCTCCATTTCAGCGGACCTTCGGCAAGGTCCCATTGTTTTCACCCGAAACAATTTGGCGCCGTCTGTGGGGAAGACTTTCAAAAATCTTTAAGCCAAATTCCTAACCAAGATCATCTTGCAATTATCTTAGCAGCCATGGCTAAGAACCGCAAGAGCAAAAGCCTCCGTCAAGGAGCGGGCGAAAAGCCTAAAACCCCTACACCATCGCCCTCGCCGGACCGGAACTCTCCCAAGGGTGCCGGCTCGGGGGGAGGATCATGCAAGGAGGATTCCCTATCTCCCGTAATGCATGACTCTCAATATAGGCCGGACCACTCTCGGTCTAGCAGGGGTCAGTCTGATCACAGGACATATTCAGTGTCCCAAAGCCAACCATCGGCTGCGCGGCCTCATTCCCACACTCGGCCGAGGACCCCTTTAACGGGGCCCAGTTCGGAAGAGGTGGCAAGAGCGCTGGCAGTACTCATGGAGGCAATGAGGGCACAGAATATGCCACCGCCTCGTGATCGAACTCCTCCGCATACCCGGCATCAGCGGAGGAAGTTAGACCATGACGGTGGGAAGCTTCCTTCCTTCCGGGAACTGGAAGAGTGGGAGGAGGATTCTTGGAAAAATGAAAAACAGAGGAAAAAGAACCCTCAATTATTTAAAGGATCCTCATCCTCAAGACCAGAAGCGCATAAGAGCAGCAGCTCAGCTTCTCGGCCAGAATCTACTCGCCGAGAACCTGAGACTGTTCGCAGAAGCGTCCTTGACCGACTCGGCGGCCAGGAACCGAGCGTGCGTAGTCGCCTCTCGTTCCCTGCAGCCGAGGCCCAGACTTCCCAGCCAGGGACGAAAACCACTCCTACCTCTCTAAGAGGGCGGAGCGCGGTCCCTTCGGCCAGGAACAAGGGCAAGGCCGTTATGCTACCCGCTAGTTCACCATTCGAGCAATGGATACTGGAAGAGCGCGTACCCACGGTTAAAATACCGTCGCATATCACATATGACGGGACCACGGATCCGAAGGACCACGTGGCCTCGTATGAGACTCATATGCATCTTTGCCCCAGATCCGAGGCGACTTGGTGCAAATATTTCCCAACCACTCTCAAGGGGGTCGCGCAAGCGTGGATCTCCAAGGGAGTAAGGCAAGGCTCCATAACAGGTTGGGATGATCTGTCCTCCAAGTTCAGGAGCAAGTTTTCCACGGCAAACCGCCGAGAGAAGACTACCGCAGAGCTCATGAGTCTGCAACAGGGGGAAACCGAAAGCCTCCGAGACTACCTGACCCGTTTCAGTAACGATTCATCAAGCGTCTCCCAGCTGGACCAGGGGTTAGCTGTTTTTGCAATGCAGAATGGCCTTCAGCCAGGAAAATTCCTAGACTTCATGGTCATGCATACCCCGCAGACCTTGGAGGAAGCTCTTAGTGCTTCGGATAAGTTCATCCGAGCCGAAGAATGGAATAAAGCAAAAACCCAACCTCAATCCGGGGGAGGGAAGCAGAGGCAAATACCCTTGTCTGAAGGCCAAGGCCATAAGGCAAAGGGAAAATCAAAGGCTCCGGAGCCATCTTTGGCCAACGACCTAAAGAAGGACAGATTAGCCTCATACACAGGCAGATACGAGTCCTACACTCCGCTCTCTCTTCCACGCGCCAAAATTTACAGTGTGACGAAGGAAGAGCAGAGTTACCGAAAGCCGCGACCACTCCCAGAGTGGTATCAGCGAAAAAATAAAAATCAGTGGTGTGAGTTCCACGAGTCTTCGGGCCACAACACTGAGGAGTGTATCCAACTGAAGGACCAGATAGAGGACATGGTCCGGAAGGGATACTTGAAAAAATACATCGCGGA